CTAGTGAACACCATCACCTTCAGGAAAGTGGATAAAAGTTTCCCTGACATGGGTGAGGAACAAGGTTGGGCAAGTTCCCAGAAGAATCCATGTTCTGATTGATTTTTACTACAAACCTCTCATGTGTCTTCTGGAATTTGACATGGAGGATGTCCACTGGGCAGCTTTTGTCTGCTGCTCAGTGTGCAGCACTCTTCTTCCCAATAAAGCATGCTCTTTCACAAAAATAAATAAATAAATAAATAAAAGAATCCTATACTTAACATAAATAAATAAATAAATAAATAAATCCTATACTTTATAAAAGTTATGAAAAACTTATACTTTGAAAACTAAAAAAGAAAATAACAAAATGTTAAATGAAATAAAGGAAGACATAAATAAAAAGGAACCCCAGGATCATGGGTGAGACAATTTGATATTGTTATAACAATCCTCCCCTACATTGATCTACAGGTTTGATCGAAGCCCTATCAAAATCCCAGCTGACCTCCTAGAGGAAATAGACAGGCTGGTCCTAAAGCCCACATAGAAATTCTAGGGAACTAAAATAATGAAGACAATATTATAAATAAGTTAGATAACATACACTTCTCAATTTCAAAACTTACTACAGAGCTACAGCAATCAAAATAGTACTGCCATAGGATATGCATTTAGATCAATGAAAGAAAATTGAGAATCTAGAAATAAACCCTCTCTTTTATGGTCAACTGATATCTTCAACAAAGATATCAAGACAATTCACTGGAGGAACAATAGTCTTCAACAAATGGTACTGGGACAACTGGATATCCACAAGCAAAAAAAAAGTTAGATCTCTACCTCACATCATATAAAAAAAATTAATTAAAAATATATGAAAGAGCTAAACCTATGCAACTTTTAGAAGAAAAATCATAATAGAGGACCAGCGGTTAGCATAATGGCTATGTCGCTGGACTCCCACATAGTCGATCGCGGTTCGAGTCCAGGACCCAGTGGATTAAACTCACGCCGGGCGCGCGTGTGTGTGCATGTCCAAGATCCCAAGAGGGTAATGGAGGAGAAGGGATTGCAGTGTGGCCATCCCCTCTGGGAGATGATTTCTCGCTTTCTATCTCTCTGTCTCTCTCTGTCTGTCTGGTGAGCGCACGCGTAGTAAATCTTCGTGACTTTGAATTAGGCAATTAATCCTTTTCCTGTGGTCTCACTTTTCTGTTTCAGTTACCCATGTTCAACGGTGGTCCAAAAATAGGTGAGTTCAGTAAAAGGTATTTTGAGAGAGAGAAATCATATTCATGTAATTTTTATTGTACTATTTTGTTATAAATGTTCTATTTTGTTATTAATGATAACCTCTTACTACACTAATTTATAAATTAAAGTTTATCACAGGAATATGTGTACCGGGAAAAACATAGTATATATAGGGCTTGGTGTTATCCATTGTTTCAGATAGTCACTGAGGATCTTGAAACATATTCCCAAAGGATAACAGAAAACTACTGCAATCAAAAGGAGATAATAGGCTAGTTTTAAAAAGATATGCAGAGGGGCCAGCAGATGGCATGTGGTTAAGGCACTGAACTCCCATGTGGCTGACTAAGGTATGAGTCCTGGACCTGGCAGCTTGCTTTCTCACTCCCCCTTCCTCTCTCTTTCTCTGTCTCTCTCAGGTCAAACTGAAGAATAATAATAAATTAATCAAAAAAAAAAGATATGAACCCTCATACAATGCTAATAGGGATGTGAAACAATGCAATCACTTTGGTACATAGCCTGGCAGTTCCTCAAACAGTTAAATATATAGTTGCTACCTGATTCAGCAATTCCACAACTAGGCATACGTCCAAGAGAATAAAAACATATGTCCACGCAAAAACTTGTACATGAATGTTTATAGCAGCATAATACATAATAGCCAAAAAGTGGAAATAATTCAAATGTCCATTAAGTGGTAAGTGGATATATGTGTTATATCCATTCAAAGCTTATTCTGCAACATAAATAAATGAACTAGTGACACAAGCTACAGCATAAATAAACCTTGAAAACATTCTAAGTGAAGTCAGTCGGTCACAATGGATCATATAGTATACAATTTCCTTTTTATGATATGACCAGCAAAGGCAAATCTGTAGAGATTTTCTTAAGAGTGGAAACCAGGTCCTGTGTATCACCCATGGTCAGTACATTACAGATTCATAGTTGATCCTATATAGCATGCCTTGATTAGACGAAAGAAACTTGGAAGAGAGCATCATAAAATCCACAGGGGGAGGGGATCTATTGTCTATTTTTTTTCATACTTATTCTGCTTTTCAGTCAAGACTCAAGGTTCCTATTCAATAAAAAATGATCAGATGACTCTATTCAATCACCCTTGGTTTCTATCATAAACCTGCTAATGATGTAAAAGAAAATGGACTCAGATGACTCCATGTGGCAACATGAACTTTTTTGGTAACATCTTTCCCAAAGTGCAATTTTTTTTAATTCCACAAGAAAACTTCAACAGCTAGAGTTTTAAGACTTAGACAAGAAAAAAAAAAAGTGTATCTGCTAAGAGGTAGCCACTCAACATGCACTATCTTTTCTCGTCCTTATAGCAATCCTGCAAATAGACTACTACCCACAAATTATAGGCAATGAAATTGAGGCACCAAGACATTAAACAATGGGTGTCACAAAGCTAGAACTAAAACTCCAGCCTCCATCAGCCTGATTCTGAGGCCCATGCTTACCTGCTTTGTGAAGTTCTCCTTTGCAGTCCTTGAGAAAACATCTGAAGTTCTACACTCTATCCTTGGACATTAGAATGGCCCTTATACCAAGGAAGCCCTCACATGCAATCCACAGGCTAACAAGGCAAGGACAAGGCCTATTCATAATTATGAAGCTTGGAAAATATCTTTTCCCATCCGGAAGAATACCTTTGAACTAACCCATACCTCTTACAGACTTACGCATCACCTTGCTATATCTGGTTTGCCTCAGAAACAGCACATTGTGCTGACGACATTCCCAAAAAAGGATTATGATCCCTTAGAGACTGAGAGCAAATGCAACCATGAAAAAAAAAAAAAAAAAAAGACAGAACTACTGATCCTCACAACTGCTGAAATTTTGCAAGGAAAGATGCTCTGCTTCAGTCAAATTGCTCTATTTACTGCCACTTCCCACCAGGGGAAAAAAAAAACCTGCTTCTCCCTACATTTCCTCATCTCTGACTGTGTACTTTGTTCTTCATGCTTGGTATGTTCTTCCTTCCTTCTTTCCTCACCTGAAGGAAATCTGCTTGTTCTTAAGAGCCATTTTTCTATGTGGTCTTCCTTAACTACTGACCTACTGTACTGTATTCAGCAAACTTAACACCTTGACATCTTGAAATTAGCTACCCACTGATTTGTCACACTACTCACTATTTCTTCAGCTCATCTATTTTCTTCAACTTTTTATGTAGTCATGCCTTGCTTCCCACATCACCAAAATTTACTGTAAGGCCTTGGACAATTTCGTTTCTTAGATTTCCC